ACCTTTGTTACACAATAATATGACCTTCCTGACTCCCATATTCGACGACCAAATATATATTCTCTGTCACTGCAGAAAAATGGGAACTGCACAAAAAGCATTTGATGAATTAAATATTAACAACACAAAATACTAAGTGTTCAGCAAAAGCATACAATTATCACATCTCCTTACCTTTCGAACCCAATGCACTATCATTGTTCCAGTTGTGGGGCATTCTTCTATAGTTTCAGCATGTACAAGCATGTCATCCCACTTGAGCCGAAACTCATCATCCCAAAAGAAATCCCTCAATAGTTCAGGTGTTGCATCCTCATACACAGTTCTGCTGCAATATTGAGGAGGACCACTCTAGCAAAAACAATATAGAAAATCAATAAACAAGTCAGGCAAAAGAGACATCAATATAATGAAGTATTAGTCTACAGCAAAGTGGTCGTGCCGGAGTGGTTATCGGGCATGACTAGAAATCATGTGGGCTTTGCCCGCGCAGGTTCGAATCCTGCCGACCACGTTAATTTTATTTATTTTTATCAAAAAAATAAATGAAGCCTTTACTACCTCAGGATCTCTCTGCCACGCTTGATAGCTCATAGTAGGAGTAGAACGATCCATCATGTGTTTCCACGGCGGGCCTTCGTCTTTCCTCTCAACAAGATGCCATAAATGTTCCAAATCTTCATCTGTTATTGGTAAAGTATTCAGCTGCGATGGACTACAACAAAAACGGCAAAACACGAATGAGTTACCCCATCCAATCAAAATATAAGCTTTTTCACTTGAAATTAACAATAGAACTTACCCGTTGTCAAATTTTTCGATTTCTGAGGGAGCATCCATACAAGAACCAAAGCTAGGGGTATGAGCCTTAGAGGAATGAAATCTCTTTGTTTCGGTTAATTCCAAGCTTTTAGACGGTGAAGGAACCAAAGCAGTGGGGGAAGAAGGTGCTGAAAAATCAAATTTACAATTTTTCCAGCTAGCCCATTTGGGTTTCCAAATCCATCCCACCGTAATACCCAAAAGAAAGGCAATCCAAACTGGACCAAGAAACGTCATAATCTCTACAAATACTGCACCTATCGTGGGTCTTTCAAGTATCTCCATAAATGCCTCAACTAAAACCATACCTATAGCTTAATATAATGAAATACAATCGGTGAATTGATTATGTACAGGACCCAGAAAGGTCAGGGGAAAAAAAAAAGGCAAGGGAGATATTAATAAGGAAGAGAAAAGTTGAGGCCAAGATTTTTGTAATAAGATTGAAAAAGACGTGAAAGGTGGAGAATTGTATTCTGGAAATTTCGGGTATTCTTGATTTGATATGGGAATTTGTTCGGGTCTGAAGAAAATACTGCACCGCAGCAATTTACCTTGAGGAAGAAAAGGAGAGTATTAGTAATGGATAAAATGCGAGAATGGGGGAGAATTTGATATTTGGTATTGGATAAGAAGAACATACGCATCAGCACATTTGTTGACTGGTTACCAGCTGGGTGCGGTAAGAATGGAAATCTCATAGGGAATAGGTACTGTCCGTTATTTGCTGACTAAGGAGAGAGGACAAAGCTAAGGACGGTTCTTCCTATGTCTGTGTTTTTTCATTTTTGCATATTCTAGATTTTGTGGTAGTTGTGGTTTCTTGTTTTCCACGTTCAATTGTTTGGTTGTGGAAACGCTACAGTGCTCATTGTCATTCACGTAAATTGGGTGCCTGTGTAATGTTGTATACAGTAGGGTGCAACTCCAATCACTTCTGCCAGATAGACATTTTCTTTGTCCATTTTATATGAGTACTTTTCTATTAAAACTTCTGAGTTCAAAATTACAAATTCAATATAGTTTCTCACTTCAAAGTTAAAAGTAACTATTTTAAAACTCTCTAGGGTGAGCTTGTCACATTGGTCCCAACTAAGGCTGTAATGTGGGCCGGGCTCGGTCCTAAATGGGCTTCGTGTGCCGGTCCTAAATAGTCCCGAGCCTATGTGGGCTTTTTGTAGGAACCATCCCGGGACCGGGACCACGAACTAATGGTCCCGGGCTATGTGGGCCTAAGTGGGCTCAACGGATACTTTCTATTTTTTTTAAAAATTTTTATCTAAGGCAATTCCTTGTAAATTATATTTATAGAATTGTGACCTAAATTTATTTTTTAATTCAAAATTAAACACAAAAAATATTGTAAAGAGATATTCAAAGCAATGCGTTATAATTTTATTATAGCATTAACAAATATGGCAATATCTTTCTTAGTCTTCCTCCCCCCATGGAATGAGCACAACAAGGTGCTAGTACCACCATTTAGAAGAAAAAGAAACTAATCAAGATGTGCCAAAATACAAGTTACATATGGTTTAGCATGATCTAATGCAATTTGATAAGCACTATAAATAGTTAGAGCATTTATTTTAATTGAGGCTTGTGCTTCCGGAAGTGTAGACAACTCCTCATCTTCAAGTGTTAAACCATTATAAACAGTTTCATACCAAAATTGAGGACCTCCTAATTTCATAGTAGGATTTAACAAGGCAGCAACACCATAAATAGGGGGAATAGGAAAAAAATATTTTTTAAACTTTTTTCTCATAGAATCAATAGCTTGTTCATAAATTTCCCCACCCTTTGAAAAATGAGCAAACAAATTTGCAAGTTCTGCAATATAAACTAAACAGTTAGAAATAGTAGGATAATATTGCCCAGAAAATTCATTTGTAGCAATATGAAATTTTTCTAAAAAATCTACAAGCATTTTAACATTAGCCCAATCAGCATTTGTAAGGTGTTCATCATCATCACTTACCTGAGCATTAAACGTTAAGTTTATGGGGTTTCTATATTCATATGCAACAACTAAACTTTCATACATTTAATTCCATCTAATTGGACAAGCTTTAGGAACCTTTCTTTCTCTTAGACCAAATTCATAAGTCTACTTCTACGTTTGAATAAAAAAGCCAGTTAAGAGCCATATTAACCTTTTCAATTTCAACATTTAAAATTCTCATACCATCACCCACAATTAAATGGTAAATATGACAAATACATCTAACATGAAAAATGTTACTAAATGCAGGATTTAGTGCAATGGTAAGCAAGGCTACAACATTAGTGTTACTAGTAGCATTATCCATTGAAATTGACATTATTCTATCACTAATGCAAAAATATCTACAAATATCTGTAACCATGCTAGAAATAAACTGCCATATGTGATGTGAATTAATCATTCTATAAGCAATAATGCGCTTTTGCATTATCCAATCCTCATCAATCCAATGACCGATAACAGTAAGATAATCACAGTCATTACCACTTCTACCAATATCAGTAGTAATAGCAACACGACAAGTTATATGAGTAAAATAATAGCGCAAATATTGTTCATATTCATGTTTATATTTATAAATATCGCTCTTTACGGTTGTGCGAGTCCATCCTTTATAAGTAGGATTAAAAATATTTCTAATATAATGCACAAAGTGAGGGTTAGAAGGAAAACTATAGGGTAAGCACATAACAGTAACCATTTTTGCCAATTCTTCCCGATCTTTTCTTGGATCATAATTGTGACGACCCGACCCGTCGTCGCATGTGTTACCGCCCCGTTTTCCCCATTTATTGCTTCTTCATGTTTCGTTATCGGCATTTGGTGAGTTAGAGTTGAATTGGTTTGGTTTTGGTGGAGAATGAGACATTTAGTCTCCTTAAGGAAGGCTTGTGTTGAAAAGGTCAACCGGATATTGACTAATGAGTTAGAGGGCTCGGAGGTGATTCCGGTGATTCGGTTAGCTTCGGGGGATGATTTGTGACTTAGGAGTGCGATCGGAATTGATTTTGGTGGTCCGGTGCAGAATTAGGCTTGAATTGGCGAAGTTATTATTTTGGCGAATTCCGGTTGATAGGTGAGATTTTGATCCGGGGGTCGGAATAGAATTCCGAGAGTTGCAGTAGTTCCGTTAGGTAATTTTGGATGTGTGTGCAAAATTTCAGGTCATTTGGAGGTGTTTTGGTCGGATTTTTGATCGAATGCGTAATTCGGAAGTTTTTAAGAAACTTAGGCTTGAATCCGATGTGATTTAATGGTTTTAGCGTTGTTAGATGTGTTTTGAGGAATGGAACAAGTTTGAATGAGGTGTTAGGATGTGTTGGTATTTTTGGTTGAGGTCCTAGGGGCCTGGGGGTGAATTCGAGTGGTTAAACGAGAGTTTTTGGAAGTTGCTTCAGGTCTGAGATTTCTGTCATCTGGTATTTCTGCTTCTGCGGAAACGGACCGCAAAAGCGGGTGGAAAAGCGCAGAAGCGATCTTGTGTTGAATTGATGAGTTCCGCATAAGCGGACCCCTTTTCGCATCAGCGGGTCCGCAGGTGCGAGTGAATAACCGCAGAAGCGGTCTTGGGTAATCCGCAGAAGCGGAGAATATGTCGCAAAGGCGGAAGTGGTAAGTTAATTGAGAAACCGCATAAGCGGGGAAATGGCCGCAGAAGCGGTCCCGCATATGCGGAAGCGGGACCGCATAAGCGAAAATCGCTGTAGGCAGAAGGGGTTTTATAATATCATATTTCATCCGCGAGCTTGGGGTATTTTCCACCATTGTTGAGAGACCTTGAGAGCTTTGGGCGAGGACTTTTGAGAGTTTAGACTGGGAATCGGTCGGAGGTAAGTCCCTTGGCCTAATTATTCGAGTTTATGGTAGATTTAACATGAAAATTAGTGGAAATTCATCAAAAAGGGGGTAAGTTAGGGCTTGAGAAATTATAAGTTAAAAATGGAATTTGGAAGGTCAAATGGACTCCGATTTTGATAAATTTGATATGCATGGACTCGTGGCGAGATGAGGAATCCGATGATGTGAATTTTATAATTTTTCGAGAAGTGGGTCCGGGGCTCGGGTTTTGCCAACTTCGTGATTTTTGATGTTTTTCGAGTCTTTTCGATTGGGTTATATCCCCTTAGCCTATTGTAATGTATTCCTTGTGGTCTTGATCAGATTTGACGCGCGAGGAGGTCAATTCGAGAGGAAAAGGCATAGCGAGCTAGACTTTGGGTCGGCTTGAGGTGAGTAATGGGTGTAAATGATGTACTGAGGGTTTGAGACCCCGGAATTTCACATCGTACCGCTATATTGAGGCGAGGCACGCGCTCTATGACGAGTGCGGGGCTGTTGGTTATTGGGGATTGTGACTTGGTCCGTCCCGGTGATGTTTTACTGTGTTTTTCTACTAGAACTTGTTGGAAATCATCGTTATTTGGATTTGACTGTTGTATTTGGGCTTCGTGCCGGTTATTTGGATCCTTCAGGGATTGATTTCACTGATTTGCATACTTTGCACATTGTTTAACCTCATTCCAAGGTTTTAAGTACTATTTTTGCAAACTCAGCCCCTTTTTCTAAACTTGAAAATTCAAATGATATTTTAAATGATATCTTGGGCTGTGGATTTCTGATTTAAAAGTGCCCAAGGGGCTTATTGTGATTTCTGGATTTATGGATGGCTTGGGCTGCACGCCGCAGCAGTACTATGTGATATTGAGGCCGAGGACCTGGTTGGTGCCACGAGATGGCTTATTTGCGCTTGGGCTGTAGGAGCCCCTCCGGAGTCTGTACACACCCCCAGTGAGCGCCGTCGACGTAAAATATATGGTTGGCTCGGACTGCACGCCGCAGTGGGTACCTGAGTGTACCGGTATTTGCATTGCATTGCATCATTGCATCATTCCTTACTTGTTACCTGTCATGGTTCTTTCTGTACTATACTTTATTGACTTGCCGGTCTCACTGTTAAAGGTTTGGTACTACCCGTTATAGTTGCCTTGTGTTTTTTTTTGTGATTTCTTATCTTCAGTTATTATTTATGCTTATTACTCACTGAGTCGGAGTACTCACTTTACTCCCTGCACCTTGTGTGCAGATTTAGATGCATCACAGTCTGAGGGAGGACCTGTCTAGCTGAGCAGCATTTCACCGGGAGCATCGAGGTAGCTGCATGGCGTTCGCAGCCTTGATCCTTCCCTCCTATCCCTATCTTTCATTATTCCGTTTCTTAGACAGTCTTGTTATAGGATGACACTCTGTATTAGAGGCTCGTAATCGTGACACCGGATCCTGTTTTGGGTTATGTTCTAGTATTTTTATTGGTTTTCAGTATACTACTCCGTGCTCATAGTAGTTTGATAAGATGGTTTAGTAATTTAGTATCTGTGCTCGAATTCCTGAATTATCATAAGTTGAGATTTGTTGTTGAATGGTCGGGCTTGCTTAACAATGTGTT